AAGAGAGGGAACCCCATAACATCGAGAACATCCATTAAGAAACCCTAGTTAATAATATCAAAGGCTTTCCTTAAGTCCACCTTGATTGCACACGTTGTAACTCCTTGAATCCTATGATAATTTCTAAACAACTCCTAAGAAATTAAGATGTTATCTACAATCCTTCTACCACAAATAAAGACAACTTGACTTTGGTTAACAATATAAGGGTCACTTCCTTGATTCTAGAAGCAATGAGTTTGGAGATAGCCCTGTAGATGGTATTACAACATGAGATTGGCCTAAAGTCATTCATGGATGTAGGATTAGGCTCCTTAGGAAACAATGTGATGATGGTGGCATTTAATTCCTTGAGAAGCTTACCTTGAGAAAAGAACCCCTTTATGGCATCAATAATCTCTTGTCCAATGATTGGCCAAGCCTTCTTGAAGAAATAAAAGTTAAAACCATCAGGGCCCGGAGCCTTATGGTCACTTGTAGAAAAGAAAGCCTGCTTGATTTCTTCATTGGTGAATTCCCTTACCATTGTCCTAGACTGCTGGTAAGAGACTTTCCTTTGAATCATTGAGTCAAGGCTCCTCATTCTCTCACTATTAGGCATGGTGTAACTAGGCTGCCACAAGAGCTGTTTGAAATAGTCATTGGCTTCAATCTTGACCTCATCTTCCCCTTTAACAATGGTCCCATCCATTCTCTTTATGGAAATAATTTTCTTCCTACTTCTTCTATTAATCATGGTCTTGAAAAGATAGATTGTATTTTGATCACCATCTTTTAGCCACAGGACCCTTGACTTTTGCTTGTAGATCAATTCCTCAGCTTTGGCAACATCCAAATAATCTGCCAGAAGCTTCTTCTCCTCCTGTATCAAGCTATGGTCTGACGGTTTCCTGTCAATATTAATTTGGCAATTCTCAAGAGCTGCTTTCGTAGATTGGACAATTTTAGTAAAATGTCCTACTTCCTTGCACAGTCTTAAATACGCCTTTGAGTCTCTTTAGCTTGGAGGAAAGTCTAAATTGAAGTGATCCTTGCACACCAGTCGCCCAAGCTTGAGTCACAGTATCCAAAAATTCTCCTTATCAGCAAGATGACTGAAGAACTTGAATGGAGTCCTCCTCTTCCAAGCAATTTTTCCTAGCTTAACAATAGCTGGAGAATGGTCTAAAACCCCAGATGGTAAGAACTCAGTTGTAGGTTGTTGGAATTTGGTATTCCAAACTTGATTGACGAGGACACTGTCCAATTTCCTTGTAATAAATCTTGTCCCATCTCTCTTGTTTCTCTAAGTATAGAGTAAGCCAGAATATCTCAGGTCCTCAAGTTTAGAATCCTGTAAGCAATCTTCAAATTCCAGAATTGCATTATTCCATTTCCCTGCGCATCCCACATATTCACTAGGGTTCCTTATGATGTTGAAATCCCCAAGGATAATCTAGGCATCAGTATAGATAAGATTAGAATAATATCTCAAGTCTGCTCATAAAGGCCTCCTCTCCACCATTTCATTCATTGCATAAACAAATGAAGCAAAAAAACAATTATTGCTCTCAATATATTGAATGTGACAATGTATAACTTGGTCAGATTCAACACATTTGGTAACATTGATAATATTTGAATTCCATCCAATTCAAATCCTCCCTAAAGTGTAGCATTGGTAATTAGCACAGTAAATCCACTATCCAAAAACTTGCTAAATTATAGTAAAGCAACTAACACTCCTAACTTTGGTTTCAAGGACTCCTACCATGTCCAGATGTGCCTTTCCGATTAACTTTCTCACCTCCTCCTGTTTAGAAGGCTCATTAAGCCCTCTAATATTCCAACAAGCAAAATTAATCATGAAATGAGGGCTTTGCTGAGTTTAAAGTGCTCAACCCCCTTTAATTTAGCCTTCGTCTTAGACTTCTTTTTTAACTTTTTTTGTCTTTTTCCTTTTCTGAGTGATCCACTGATTCTTAGTATCTACTAAGTCATGTTTCTCCACTTCAATGGCTTTAAGATGAGCAGGACTAATGTTGACAACTATAAACCCTCAACACAAATTTAAATTACCATCCATTTCAGAGAGCTAGTTACCTTTGCCTTTATCAGATGAGCTGGTGGGTTTGCTTGTTCCTTAGTCACCTCCTTTCCTTTGACACCATACGATTCCTTTGGGCTTCTGGCAAATTGAGAAGAAGGCACAATGTTCCCAATTTGATTATACCCCTCCACTACAACAGTAGCACTCACAATGGTTTTTCCTTTGTCAAGTCTAATTGGCCCAAGAGTTTGGGAACTAGCTCTTTCAGCCTAGTTTCTATCTGCATGTGACAGTTAGACTGGGCATGTCCAAATGTCTAGCAACCAAGACAAACCTTGGGTTTTTAATGGTACTTGACCCTAATCATCACCATAATATAGTTACCACTATCATCACACTTGTTCAACTTCATATGTCCAATATTGCAGGTGGATATTAGGTAGCTTCACCCAAACTGGAATGAGAGAGTGGTCCTCTTTTGAAACAACATCTAATTGACATTTCTTAAGGAATAATGACCTTCCTTGAAATAACCATGGGCCAACTTCCACCACTTTGGTTCTTGCCTCCTCGTCCTCGAATTTGAAGAAAAATAACCCATGTTCATTAACCAAGACCTTCAACAATCCCATCTTGTCCCAAATCTTATGGGAGATGAAAGACACTGTCAAGAATGACAATTTTTTCTCTATAAAGTATCCCACAAGACAGTTTCTCCACATGGCACAACCTTTGTTTGCTACCTTAGTTGGGGGTTGAACAACAACACAGTTGTTAACTCTTTTGGGTTCATAGTATTGCAATTTCATGCTGTCTTGGTCAATCCTGCTTGTTTCTGGGTTTGGAAGATTCCTGTCGTACTTGAGCATTTGATTCCATGGGAAATTAGTACCAGATCTATTCTGAGTAAGGGGTTTTCCCCTATTTTAGCAAAAAGTTTCAGCCTTCTAAAATCTACTCCTGTTGGCCGATACTTTAATACCTTCCACACACTCGACAATAGTTGCAGCATTAGTGAGATAGAGCATATCAGTAACTCCTCTATTTTGTAATTCCTTTTGTTGGTTGAGCAATAACTCATCCTGGGCCCTACCATCTTGACCTGGTGGCTATCTTTGCCCTTGGTGGACAGATCTATGGGATTTGCTATTGGAGATGCGAAATCACCCACTGCTGTGCGAAAATCATCAGCCCTAAATTTAGAGTTGGGGATTGGTTTCATTCTAAAGCTAGGAATCTTTGGTGAGGAAAGGAGGTTAGAATGGAGAGGAAGATGGGGATGGGAATCTAGCAAGGGAAAAGAAGCAAAGAAAGGGATTGAAAGCTTCTATCGTCTGTAAGCTACTCTATTTTTATGTTATTGGCTACTAAACAATAGCAATTTTTCACTGTCTCACAAACTACAAGTCCCAATTTTGTGTCTAAGGCTTCCACTATACAGTTCAAAAACATAATTCAAACGATCTGAATCAATATAAAAATTATGTGACTTTTGAGATAGAGGAAGTACCTGATGAGTAGCCATTAATAGTAAGGTTGTTGGCACCCATTTTGGCTAGTTGAATCAGCGAAGAAGTTAACAAACCCATATTCAATTCATATCTCCCAGACATATGTGCACCTAATACAGGGAATTTATGGTGGCACAGTAAATCCTGTTGAATATGCAACACTGGATAAGCAAATCAAAAATTCTCCAACTGTTTATTGGAAATTAATATTGTGAGTGAGCTTTTGGGTCTCCGAGTTTGAAGATAATGGCTTGGCAGAAGCCACAACACTAACCATAACAACTAATAAATATGAAACTCCCATGGCATCCAGAGAATCGAATAGTGAAACAAGTTCTGCTTCAAGTTCAAATCCTTGTCTTCAAGCTTTTCTAGCAAGCTAAGGCTAGAATACTCAATTGGCACACTTCAGAACTTTTGATTTAACTAGCAGATGTGTAGAAGGTTTCTCAATATCTCAATGATATGAACAAATGGAAAAGACTACATAGAACCAACCAGCAAAAAAAGATCAAATCAGTGCCCTTCCATATTGAACTTCTTTGTGTCTTTTATTATCTTCCCCTATAGGTAAGGAATTCAAATACATTTGGTGACATATGATGCTATGAGATGCTACAAAGAAACAAAGGATTAAGCTACAAGGAAACAAAGGATTAAGCCATTGCTTGCTTTTAAAACTGAGACCCTGCAGGATATCTCCACCAAGAATTTTTATCCATAGGTCTAATATCAATTTTTTTTTGGCAATATGAAACAGAAAACAGTTAAGAGCAGAACTGCTTAATTTTTTTCATATGAGAAACATTCCTTGTATACTAAGAAATTGTCAGCCATCTTATCAATGAGCCCTCTAGAGGAGCTAAAATGTCCAGGAAGTTATAAGAAACAACAAAAACCATTAACATTTACATCTAACTGGCTTCTTCGCTACAACGTTGTCTGAATTTAGCTAAAGATCAATGCACATGTTTGACTTTATGATGTCAAGTAATGATAGAAATTCAACAGTTGTTCAAAATTGCAAAGAAGAGTAACCAAAAGAATACAATCCCTGGGAAGATCATAATTCAGCAACATGTTGCAATAATTGTTTAGACTTCTAGTCCTGCAGTACTACATAGCAACCATAGGTTTGTCCCTCCATTAAATCTCATTGCCCATGCCCTATATTCATTTGCTTCATACTCTTACACCTTAAAAAATTTATTTCCTATGGGTATCACAACATGTTTCACAAATTGACTTGGGTAGAAATTAAAACCAGAAATTTGAAGCAAAATAAATTGTCATTCAATCAAAGACTAATACAAATCATCTAGGTAACAACATGTTGTTTTTGTTTCTCTACAAGGAAATGCACTCATTAGTTAGACAACAATGACATTTCCCCAGCTTTTTCGCAAAGAGATAAATAGGATGATTTAGATTCATCTTACAAGAACTACTTTATAGATGGATCATTTTGAAAGAGAAGCAACCAACTTCTCCTTCAAATGCTCTGCAGCACCACCTTGTGTTCGAATAGAGAACGAGTGAATAACTTTTCCATTGTCGGTCATGGAAACATCAGACTCTTGAAGAACTACTTGACGTTCTCTAAATGCCTTTATAACTCCAGAAACCAGGTGGGTATCCAATGGGTAGCTCACTCGAACAACTGCATTTCATGTCTTTACTGAAAATCGATTTATGGGATAATGCATTGCTTTTTCTTGTTGTTACCCATCTCCCTTTCTGCTTCCAAAATCCTAATCTTCGTCTGGAGATCAGTGATGTATGCAATGGCATCACCTGGCAAATAAGCCTTGTCCATCTTAGATATATTCGGGACAACTGCTTTTAATGCGTAGAACCACTGGTTAAGCTTCTCACCCATGTGATTTAATAAAAATAATAACACACCAATAGAAAAAATTGGAATTATGATTAGTACTGCGAAACTACCCTAAAATCAAGATGCTAGCAAAAATACTAAATTGTGTATGCAATTGTTAGAATAATTATTAAAATCACCATCACGTCATAATACCGTCACAACAAACATAATAGTAATACTTGCAACTCAAGTTTAGTATTAAATATTCTATAATCAAACATATGAGTTAACTTCACGGAGATGTAGTTAATGGATCATTCTTCAGTAGTTCATTGAACTTTCTCTTCTTCACTTTCCTGAATGTTCTTGTGTCAATATATATGCGAAACTACAAGTTTTGAGAATGCACAACAACCCAATTTTACCGAAAAAAAAAAAAGAAAACCAAATTTTAGTGGAATATATTATGGGATGGATCCGTTTAAAAAAATCTAGTTTGTTGCAACAGTGTAAAGATCAAATTATCTTATTACGATATCCCAACGGTGAAGTCATGTTGCATTTAATCTTTTCATCACTGTAGCTAATTCACACCAATCCTACAAATATTTAATTATAACGTAAAAATAACGTGATTATTTTAATTAAATATGTATTCTATAGGAGCAAATTTGTAAATTAATGGTATCATTTGTTTGCTTTTGAATATAAAGTCCTATAACAGAACTTCAAGGTAAACAATGTTTGATGTACAATTCAACCCATCTACAACAAGAAGAACATTTATACGATGAGAAGATGTGGATTAGATAGTGCCACATACAGATGTCCATGACTAAACACTGATGTGCGCAAATTAACCCCCAACAAATTTTACAAACTGTCCTTGAGACTTATTGATTGTCATAGCATATGTTAATCGGATAAGAAATTGGCGTCTTGTCATCTGAAAAGGGAATTCTAAAGATGTTGGTGACAAATATATTCTTGGAATGAAGACCAAACTGCTAGATTTGTCACCATTTAAAATTTGAGCTTCAATCACACGCATGTCACATCTAAAAACTATCAATCATGTGCCATTATAAATCACATCCTTTGACACTGTATTTGTCAGCAACATCATTGAGCTACCCACCTTCAAATCTAATTTAAATGGTGGCAACCCAGCAGAGTTTAGAGAGTTTAAATACTCATTTGATATTGACTAGTGATCGAAAGATCAAGTTCATCACCCATCGCTATTTTGTCAGCTACTATGTAATTGTCCGTCCTAGTGAAATATTCAATGATGTGGCATTTATAGCATTCACATCGTCATTCCTTGAAAAAAAAATGTGTGCTCGGTTAGGAAGTCTAAGGTAACTGAACCATCCATATCCAAATGTGGATAAATTCTAAATATTAATTCTTGAAGAATATGACATTTGTGTGTTGTTGATGGAAGTTCAATGGTTTCTTGTGGGTTTGTTCCTACCTAAAAATTAGAAGTAAAATTATAGAATATTAATAAATAATAATAATAACAAAAAATAATATTTTATATACTAAATGGTCAATGAAATATTACCTCCATTAAGAATTTTACAAATTCAACATTGTCAGAATTTGTTTTAGTTAAGTGCATGTTTAACCCTAAAATCAAAACTTGTAAATCTCTCCACAATACAGATCAACTCAATGACACACCTACAATTTGCTCGCAGACTTCTTTCGGTATAACTGTAAAAAATTGTTGAAAGTCTATATCTAGAACAACAGTAATACTCCCAAATGGCTTTTGGTTATCAAAAACACCTTAAAGTATACGATCTATTACCTCTACACAATACCTTTAGTCGATCTGAAAAATTCTGCATGCATCGATTGTTTGGTAAACCCACAAATTGAATTTTCAAGCACAACTAAGGGAATGTAAAAACGTTGAATGTGATGTGCAGTCTCTTATTATAATAAAGATGCAATACGAGATGAAGACATAGTAACAACGATATATCCAAAGCTGCACAATTTTTTAGTAACTGTATTATACACAAACATTTTTTCCAAGATGGTGCCTCCACTCAAGAAAAAAGAAATAGTTCCTTTATTTTCAGTTACTGATGAAGTAATTACAGTAGAAGCAACATGTTGTGCATCATTGAGACGATCGACATTATTTTGTGCATCCGATTGTTTTGACATCATGATGGAGTTGTTGATGTTCAAATAATAATCTATTACCAACTATTGGATTCCAATTCCCAGTTGGTTGAGGCATGGGCGTAAAGTCAACTAAACTTTTTCCCGACTCATAAAACAATTGATCTAATAGATATATACCATAATCTTCAATTTGATCCTGAGTAGGATTAAAAATGCCAAACATTGTACAAATCTTGTGCTCTAGGTCATCACATATATGCATCAAAAATTGATTCCATAAATCAAGTGGAAATAACAGAGAGCATTCCGTAAGAATAATACTAAATAGTCTCCTCAACTAGTATCTCGTTTTCATAGATGAAGCTTCTTGAATACATTATACTCATTCTCCATCATCTTCCAGAAGTACCTTCCAATGCATGCTAATTTGGAAGTGTTGTACATAATACCATTTACTGTGCGTAATTTATCAAATGATGTTGGTCCTTTTACAACAGTTAGTAACAAATGCAGATAAAATCACTCACCTGAATTGGGACTAGCAAAATACATTCTACTAATTGTGTATCCCTTTTGTTTAGGTGTCCATTTATGTGTTTTCTTATTCCAAACAATTTATTGTGGAAACTCCTAGTAGGTTAATACACGTGCAGATTCAATTGAAGTATAAGATGTAAAAAAATTAGCCGAAGTTGTATCTTGTTGTGCACCTCTAGAAATGATTGCAGCAATTGGTTCGACCATATTAAAAACAACACGATGCATCCCAGGTAAATAATATTCTAAACGTACAACTATTGAAATCTCTTCATGCAAAGGATTATCAAATAATTGCCAAGCAACTTTAGGCAGTGCAATATATCTCGCATTAAGATATTGTTTGATCTTATTTCCTCCTCCTAGCACCACAATGGTACGATCATAACCCTTGTAAATATAATTGTGAATGTAATTCTCACGTCTTATTCTCGCACAAACTTTTACATTGATATGACAATTAAATATTTTGGAAAGATACGGATTGTATGACACAACATCTCTATTATCAACTTGCTCCCCCCTCCCCCCACTATATACATGTGACTATTATTACTCTGATGATAGACAAGATATCCATCTTCGTCCATACTCGTTGATTCTACAAATGCTTGAGGAAACTTCTTAGTGCACATGTCATTTTTCATACATGACGTGTGCAGATTGTAAGCACCACAAGGTCTATGTACCATACAACTCTGAATTGTATAAAAAAATAATAGGGTTATCATCAGGATCAGGAAATTCAGCGCGTACCACATTATCTAATTGAGCACAGTATTGAATTTTATCAGGGCCATGAAGGAACAGAAGTGAAAGCATATGTGGTAGGCCCCGTTTTTGGAATTTAATTCTAAAAACATGTGCTATCTTTTTTCCAAACAATTGTGTTGCTTCTATCTCCTTCATAAAATTTTTTTCCTTTAACTCAAAAATTCTCGTGACAAAATCAGGTCGGTCATAAACTAATTGATGTTATAACACAACTGAATAAATCTTAGGTCAGTTGGGATTTGCAGTCATGGTGAGAAAGATATGAGGGTGTTGATTGTACCATATAATAGCCATTGAATCTTGAAATGTTTCAAACATATGTCTTACGCTTCCAATGAAGGAAGATGGCAAAATCATCCACTGACCAATTTGTTTAGGACCTAGCCCATCAGCATAAACATCTATAAGGCATTTGTATAGTTCTACAAGAATTTTTGCTTGATTAAGCTTAATAGTATGTCAACCGATTTTATTCTGTAACAGCCCAAGCATCTACTAAATACTCCTAGAATAGTCCTCCCTTCAAAATTGTTGAATATTCAGTTAGACGTTGAAACAAACGATAACTATGATATTTTAACTGAGTAAATCGATTAGTTGAGGGTCTACCAAGTGAATCGTCCCACTTTCTCAACTCAGGTTCCCATCCAAAGTCACCATGAGGGAACAATAATACATAACGCAAGGGTAACTATATCGGGTAACACTCATTAATCTGCATCAACTCATTATTTTACTCTCAAATGTAAAATAATATCTCTCATTCCACTTGACTCGGTTTCATCTCTGGGTAATATTACTGCAAGCTTATTTGTGATAAGAGATTATATCTTCGTCGATCTAATGCTGGGTGATAATGAAGATAAGCAAGTAAATTTTGACCTTCCAATTCTGACTAACTTAAAATCTCATAAGCTTGCTGGAATTTATCTGAGAATGGATTTACATTCAACAAGAAATCATGAATGATTTCTAAAATGTCCCTTTGCAACTGAGGATTTCTTCAACTACAAACATCTAAAGCTTCAATAGGATCATAAATGTATAGTTGACTGTATACTGGTTCGTGATTTGGTTGTGGTATGGGTGATCCTGTTTGATGGCATAATTCTCCATGTATAGTGAAAGATGTATGACCACTTCTTATCACTAATCTTGGTTCTAGTGTAGCACCAAGACTTGTAAAAGTATTAGCTGCATTATACTTTCATGTATGTTGTTGAAATAATTTTGATTTATCATCATTTCCATCATACAATGTTTTAAGTGCTGTTGGGAGTGTAATAAGTGGAGGTAGTTGAATCTTTCCTGGCAAACATGTTCCAAAAAGAGGACGTCCTAAACGGGAATATTATAATTGTTTAGCTATCCAATGTAAGGCTTCACAATGAGTACATGGTACATCCATACTCCCGAGTGAATGACGACCTTCTAATACGTGTGTTCGATGATTATTTCCAACACTATATACATGAGATTTAAAAAGATAAGTTAAAAATTTGCAAAAATGTAATGGTGATTTCCAAATATTCTAGTTTATAACAAACACCTAAAAGTTGGGTCAGCTTCCGTTGTGGTGTCCTAATTCAAATTGAGCATTTCTTAGGTCGTGGTAATCACAAACGATAGCCCAACATCATTTGTTGCCATAGTTTGTTCTATAGCAAGTTCAAAGATTTCTATAGAACATCTAGAGTGTGGTTCCGAATGCGCTGTGACGCCTTCCTCAAGATTTTGTGGAGGCATTCCCCGGAGCATTGTGTTCACAGACGATGACTCTGGAAAATCTATTGGTCCAATTTGTTCTAATACATGCACAGTCAATTCTTTTAATTGACATCTTTCTCGTTCTTGACGTGCATGTTGTGCCAATTGACGTATTGATAAAACATTGTCGTCGATTGCCTAAAGCATAAATTTTTAAAAATATTACAATAAATCATAAATAAATTTAAAAATATATAGCGGATAAGGAAATAAGAACTGTAGTACAAAATTCAGCATTTGAACAATAATGGAGTACATCATATTTAAGAAATACATATTTAAACAAACATACCACTTATGGATCTATATTCTCTTTTCCTTTTCTTTTTTTTTTTTTAGATCTGGATGTTGCAACTGCATTTGACTTTCATTTTTCCTTTTAAAAAATAAAATGTATAAATTAAAAATCATTATAGTAGAAAAGAGTTCATAACAATACATAAATCCAATTGATGTGCCACATTTTCAGCTAAGCGAAGGCGATTAAGATCAGGTTCATCATGGATTACAACGCATACGTTTTTTTGACGGAATAATTGGACCTAGAAATCAAATAAGGATATTGCTAAATTGAGTGATAATAAGTAAGAATTACACAACTATAAGCAGTAACAAATTAATGATAAGAAGATTAGCTTATTGTACGTACTACGTTAGTATCCATCTATAAAATGGTTGAAAAAACTCTAATGTGTATGGGATTACTTATAGAAGAGGATTAGAAAAAAAGCTATACCTATATAATTTACATGACCAAAAATGGTGACGTTGTAGGGTGATTCTGAATGTGCCAAGGTTCCTTCACCAAAATTGGACCCGTTGAGATGATGTGGAGGCATCCTCCGCAGCATTGTTGTCATAGACATTAACACCGGGATATTTATTGGCACGGTTTGTTTTGCTATAAGTGCAAGAAGTTTCATATTATTGAAAAATAAAGAAATTGCCTTTTTCCAAGTCTTCTCGTGTTGCTTCTCAAAGTCTTGAATTGATTCATTCTGATGTTTGGACTTCTCCAGTTCCCTCGATCAATGGATACAAATACTATGTCGTATTTGTTGATGATTTGGCTCGGTATACTTGGTTTTATCCATTGCATCATAAATCTCAGGTGTTCGAGCATTTTTTTAAGTTCATACTCATGGTGGAAAATCAATTTTCTACTTCTATTAAACAAGTTCAATCAGATGGTGGTGGTGAGTATAGAACTATTCAATCATTCTTTTCTTAGCATGGTATCATACACCGTCAATCTTGTCCCTATACCTCTCCCCCAAAAGTAGTTTAGTCAAAAAGGAAATTACGGCCTACTCTTGAGACTGGTTTAACATTGTTAGCACATTTTGGGTTGTCAAATAAATATTAGGTTGATGTTTTTATCACTGCTATCTATTTGATAAACAAAATGCCAGCACCAATACTTGGTAATTTGTCTCTTTTCTTCAAACTCTACCATAAATCACCTAATTATGCCATTTTTGGTTGTAATTTCTTTCCCTTCTTCGGCCTTATACCTCCCACAAGTTAGAACGTCGAACAAAATCTTGTGCTTTGCTTGGATATAGTCATGCTGGGTAAAGGTCTCTCGATCCTCTTAGTGATAAAATTTTTCTTTCTAGACTTCTTGTTGTTGATAAATCCTATTTATACACCTCCAAAACTAATGCTGCTGTTGATTTTCCAATTCTAGTCCCAGATAGTATCATGCTTCCCTTATCCTTTTTTGCTTCAACTTCACCATCGCCAAATATCTCTTCACCCATCTCTCATTTTACACATCTTGAGCCACATGATGAGACCACTTTTCCTACCATATAAGATGTCCATGTTTCTTCTTCCTCCATTGATTCTTTAGACTCTCTTAAATCTATAGATCCTTTATCCTCTATGGAGTCCATCGTTATTGCTCCAATACCTTCTTCACATTCCATAACAACTCGTTCTCAAAGTGGGATGCTTCGACTTCATAAGTTTTCAGATTATCATATATACTATACCACCAACTACCAATCAGTAGCATATCATATCACCCTCTATGAAACCAAACCTATTAGCTACAAACAGGCTACTACTGATCCTCATTGGCAAATAGCAATGCAACAAGAATTTTATGCCCTTATTTCAAATCACATATGGACTCTTTGTCCATGCCCTCCATCTCATAATGTGATTTGCAATAAATGGGTTTACAAGATCAAACACAATCTTGATGGTAGTATCGATAGATTTAAGGCTCGTTTGGTTGCGATAGGATTTGATCAAAAATGTGGGATTGATTACACTGAAACTTTTAGACCAGTGATTAATCCATCTACCATACATATTATCTTGGCTCTTGAAGTTTATTTTAATTGGCCAATGAAATAAGTGCCACAAACAACTGACACTAGGGGCATAAAAGCAACAGCTGCTAGCCATAAGATTCGAATCCCAACTATGAGGGAGGCTTGGATAGATATTCAACTAGGGCTTGATAGGGCTTGAACAGAATTGGACAAGGGACTAACATTTCTTATCTAGATGCCTAAAACATAAGCAGATAAGATAGCGGGTTAGGCCGAAAAGGAGGAAGCGGGGATGGCACTGGCTCTTTCTATCCTAGGGCATTGTATCGATCAAGGCAAAACTTGAAGCGTGTGTAACCCGTTCTAATTCTAAGAGTAAAGGATTTAGCGCTTTGATGGTTGCCCCTATCTTTTCTATTAATGCTCCGCTCGAGGCACCTATCTTTCTTTATATGCCCATTTTGCAAGAAGAAGAGGTGTATGTTAATCAAAAGGGGTTGTTATACGAATAGGGTGCACAAAGGAAGTGACATCCATTGAAAGCGAAGCATCATAAGCTGCAATAAGACTTTCACTTTCAAGAGCTGCTAAGCCTGGTGTTTGCAAAGGAACTGACATAGTGAATCTACAAGTTGGAGGAAGGAAGTCGTCTGCTTTAGAGCATCAAATCGTTGCTGCTTTTGCTATTGGTCTACAAATCGCTGTAACCAATGTCCCGAAAGTAGCCACCGTCCTCTTTTGAGTAGAATGATGGGCTCTTAGGAATAGAAGTGGGCATCACTACAGTTGAACTCTATTGGTTGCGTATGTTATTTAAGGACTTCAATATCCTACTTCCTAATATTCCTGTTCTATGGTGTGACAATGTTAGTGCACTAGACCTTGCCACCAATCCAATTTTTCATTCACATACTAAGCATGTGGAAGTTGATTATCATTTCATCCATGAGAAGGTTCTTAATCATGGTATACTTGTTTTATCTTTACTCATGATCAAGCTGTTGATATTTTCACCAAGAAGGGAGAACCATTCTATATAATAAAGTAACCAGGAAGTTTATCTTCAGATTTTCACTGCTTAGATTGCTCGATGATTACTGATCTGACAGTCCTCATGCAAATTTGTTCTAAGACTCCTATCTCTCATCTATCTCTATCTCCTATCTCATACTAATTGATACAAATTTCTCTCCCTAACTCACATCTCTCTCTCTCTCACACAGCACTCTCACCTAGCACCTCTCTCTGTATCCCATACTAATTGATACAATCATCACCCTACACCTCTCTCTCTCTCTCTCTCTCCCTTCCTTTTTGTCTCTGCCAACACCCCATAACACAAACATGTGGTACGGTGTATTTGGGTTTGGATAAGAGAACGGGATAACGAAATCTAGTGGGAAAGAGATGTAGTTTAGGCATTATGTTCATGTTTGGAAGTAACTGTGTATTTGGGTTTGAAAATTGTATGTATGCGTGTTATGTATTTCATGCTTGGTTGTATGTATTTGTATTTGAAAATTGTAAAAACTGAATGATTGAATGCTATGAATTTGGTTTATGCTTCCTGTAAATATCCTTCTTGGATTTGGAATTTATTGCATTTTGCTTGGTTGTCCTTTTATTAGTTGGTAGTTTGAATAAAATTCTGGTCGCAGAGGAAGCTACATTGCATCTACCAGTTGTGTTCTGCTCAATATTTTAATTTCTACTCTTGGAAGTTGAGTTTTTTTTTTTAATTTCAATATAAGCTTAAAACTTTATGAATTAGTGGATTATGAATCTAAAATTTCTTAATTTGGTGTTGAGATTAGCCCATTTGGGGATTTTGATTTTCTTGAGTTTGTGGGTTATGAATTGGAGTTTGTTGATTTCGGTGAGATTAATTTGAGGGAGTAGAGATAATTTTGCTCTGTACAAATCATATTGAAAATAAAACCATAAGGGAACAAACAATTGCTCAAACTCAAATGTTTACTAAAAATCATTTCGTGGAAACCATAAGGGAACGAACCTTTTGAAGATATTTTAAAGTTTTTCAATCTAGAAATCTGATTCCTATTTGCTAATAACAAAACTAGAATCAAACTAATATTCAATCTAGAAAAAAAAGAATCAAACTAATATTCAAAGCACAAAAAGGCAAATATTTTGGGGTCAATTTTGAAAACTGATAAAAAAAATTTGATAGCACAAAGTGTCATTGCAAATGAAGGTAATTGCTTATTTTTTAGCCTTTAAATGTGTACAATTTGACTTGAGAGGAGTTTGAACGGAAATTCCAGTCTGCCCATTGCAGAGTTCAACCCCATAGGCAAATCCATACAAATAACCAATCGAGATAGCTCAAAATCACAATCAACATAATAAGCAAAAAAAAATAAGAAACCAAATTAGAATAAATAACACATAATTAGCGTAAAATTTCTAAAATTCATACTTGAGCAGCAAATACAGTAATTCACATAACTAATTTTGATTACGGCTGAGGCAGTGAATGGGTTACTAGAAGAATACGACTGAGGCGTTGGGATGTCTTCTTTTGTTCCATCTCTACTCCCTTGGGTTATGAGAATGATACGGCTGAGGCAGTAGGATATTTGAATTGTGTTTTTGTTCTTGAATGTTGCTGCTATATGCTATACATGGATTGGAATTCTTTTCACACGTGCAAATATACATGTGTTACCGCAATGCATGGATGCACAACCCTCATTATTTTGTTCCATATGCAAAGATGCACATGTTTTTTGTTATTATATGTGAACTATGTATGCAGGTGTTGTATTCTCATTGATTTTTACTCTATAGTAGTTTAGTTTTGTGCTATTCGATTATGGTATGGTCCAATATTCATTCATCAATTCACATATTTATTTTTAGTATGAAGTCAATTATAGATAAATTTTGTGACTGAAAAAAATGTCAAGTGAGAATTTGGATTATGTGACTATTAAATTTAAACTAATTAAAATCATTTGGTGGTTAATTTTTTTTTTATTTTGGAGTATTGGTTTTGAGTGGACAAGTCTTTTGTAATTTGGGTTCAAGAGTTCGACAAATTGGATTCTTGTCACTAAAAATTCACTGCATTCGGGTGATTTGGTGCTGCTCACGTATTGGTTTTGTTCAGGTGCAAGGTACTTTTTGTTTTGAATTTGTAATATAAACTTTAATTTTTTCGCATTGGTTATATTGTTAATATTAAGACTTGAAACTGTTCATTGAGTTTTGCTTAATATTTTCTTTTGTGCATGTGCAAGGTTAGTTTTGTATTTAATTTTAATATAAGCTTAATTTGTTTTGCAGTTGCTATATTATTACTATTTACACTCAGAATTGTTCATTGGGTTCTACTCAAGATTTTACTTTCGTTGCATAATAATTTGATTGTATATATTATGATTGATGTCGGTTAAATGATATGTTTTTAGAATATATTTTATCAAAATTGTGAGGAGATGTGAGTGAGCACATTTTCATGGTCGTTTACCAAAATGTTGTGATATACCTTACATTTGTACGTGGACAAATATTTGTAACTTATTTATGAATAACATCGTACTCAGACAAGAGTTATAATTAGTTCCTCTATACAATAGCATGAAACACACTGATTATGGTAATTTAAGTAAGTATTCTCAAACTCTTTCAGGTCATAGTCATTTGATGATCAAGAGTAAGTTATGCTGGCTTTCACAAACTTTTTATACTTGGTGAAAAGTTTCTCCGACCTCTTGGACAAAAGCCTTGAGATTCTTGTCCAAAGATCCACCATCCTTCATAGCATCCCTCGCCAAATCTTTCCATTTATCAGCATTTCTTCTCAATTCTTCTTCTCTCCCTCCACCTCCCTCCCATCACCATTTCTATGCACCTCTTAAGCTCGACACTCTCGACAGTTCCTTCTTCGGTCGGCTTCACCCTCACCCCCATCTTCCACACATCTTCAATCATTTTCGCGTTGGTCCCTTGATCTGTCCACTGAGGAAACGCCACCATCAGAACCCCAGAAACCAAACTCTCCACCATAGAATTCCACCCACAGTGTGTCACAAAACACCCCAGTGAAGGGTGTGATAACACCTCTAGTTGAGAACACCATGGCACTATCATCCCTTATTGCTCCAATTCCTCCATGCAACTTAGTTTTTCTTCTTCTTTCTCTTCTTCTCCATTCTCCTTCTCTTTAATCACCCACAAAAATAGCCTGCAACTCTCTTACAAGCCTCGAGCGATCTCTTCCATTTGCTTCCTTGGTAGAGACAGAATTCTTCCAAAAGATACATAAACAATTGATGATTTAGGTTTCGAGCTTATCCACTCGACATAAGAGTTTGATTTCTGAAAGAGGTCACCTCAAAAGGGAGTGTCTGATGGCTCTTTTCAATCCAAGAAAGCAGAAGGAATTAGTGGCTCAATCCCAATCAAATTGTACATATCAATGGCCTTTAAGGACTCTGGCTCTAGTGCATCGAAAGAGTTAACAAGAACTGTTGGGTTGGTTTCTTCATCTAGTGTTTCCAATTGCTCTCGGAATGATTGGAGGGCATTGAACCCGAATACATATAAATATATAAATGTATTTAATTAAAGTTAATATTTATCTTCATTTTTTAGAGTTGAGATTTTCATTTCACTTCAAATTTTCATCCTTGCGCTTACATCACTCTCAGATCCCTCTCTCACGCGTCACTCCTCCCTCTCTCAATTGTCACCCGTTTGAATCATCTCAGACTCTCAACTTCCCTCTCTCACTCGTCACTCTTCCTTCTCTCACTCCCTCTTTCTTCATCTGCACTTCACCCTTCATTTCAAATCATTAGAAAAAAAAATCAAATCTACACTTCAAAAAATCAACCTGAATTAAATAATTCAAGCACAACCCGATTTTTAAAGCGAAATCAACTCGAATTAAGTGACTCGATTTCAACCCGAGCCTGCCCGAAATAAACTCGGACAATACTCGGGTTGGAGTAGGGTTAAAATTTAGGTTGAAGATTATATACTTAAGATTGAGCTAACGTTGACCTCTAAACTCATCCGAATTGCACCCCTACCTCCCACACACAAAAGAAAAAACCACCCATTGCCCACCTCCACCCATAACCAGCCACTACAAAGCCACCATGCAACCACCAGCCAGAGGTAGATTCACAATGGGGGCAGTGGGGGCAGCTGCCCCCACTGGAATTTTAAAAAATTTTGGGGACTAAGTGTAATTTTAAAAAATTTAGAATTTATTAGATATTTGCCTCCACTGATTTTTTTTAAAAGATTTAAAGTAGTTATGTTATTTTGATAAATATATGAGTCTCACTTGTAAATATTAATGGAAGATGATATCAAAAATTTGGACATTTAAAGATTAACTAATATGTTACGAAATAGGTTAACTCTCTCATTTGTTTTATGTTTATACATCGAACTAAATTTAGGGCTTGTAATCTTCTTCTTTGTTTTATGTTTATATGTTAGAATTGAAAATTAGGGTTTGTAGCCCTCTTTTGTGGTTTATTTTTTAAATGTTGAATTGAAATTAACGCTTGTAGCTCTCTATTGTATTTTATTTGTTACATGTTAAATTGAAAATATAAAATTGGGGCTTGTAATCATCTTTTATATTTTATTTTTTATTTTTTATGTATTGAATTGAAACTAGGATTTGTAGTCTTGTATTTTATTTTTCTATATTGAAATAAATTTGGGGCTTGTAATACTCTTCTATGATTTATTTTTTTATATATTTAATTGATATTTGGGTTTGTAGTCTTCTCTAGTATTTTATTTTTATATGTTGAATTGAAATTAAAACTTGTAGTCGTCTCATTTGTTTTATTTTTATTTGTAAAATTGGAATTAGGACTTATAATCCTCCATTATAATTAGACTAAATTATTTTGATTTGGTAGTTTGAACAATTTTATTGTGATAAGTTAAGTATTTTATATACCTAGGTTTAGTTTACTAGAATAATTATAGTTTAAGTTAGTTTCGATTGTTTGTTAAAATTTGATGATGAATATTAAGTTTGTGATTGAACAAATTAATTTTTGAATGAGTTATGAAATTTTTTCTTAAAATTTAATATATGATTGAACCCAATTTTGCGGTTCGAAATTTTTTTGTTACGTCTTATAGATAAATTTATAATGAGTTTTTTTTGTTGGCTCATTTTGTATATCGCTCATGTATATGAATTGCGTCTTTAATTAATGTTCTATTCATAAAACTATACTTTTGTGAATATTTTAAATTTTAATATTAATATAATTTAAGTTACCCACGCCGGAGAATATGTCAAAATCCGCCCTTGCCACCAGCAGCATTGCCTTCCTTAACCACCATGTACCCCAAAATTTGCTACACACTTCTACCACCACCCATAAATATTAACTACCCATAGCAAAGCCATGGTGCCCAACACCAGTCGCACGGCCTCAACCACCACCACCTATCCCCAAAAATAGCAACCTACAGACACCAACACCACCCACAATAGCCCATCATGCCAAACATTCAATCGTGAGAGAGATCAACTGTAATGGCACAACCACCACCAAATCCCAAAATCGACACACGGCTAACCACCCATAACTACCAGCAGTAAACCTACCATGCCCAACACCCCCTGTACAGTCATCCGAACCCACCACACCCAGAAGCCACCTTCATGAAATCAATTTGCAAATCTATAGGGCTTTTTAGACCTTAAATTGCGGCACTTTAGGCCCCTATCCATCTGGTTTCTCTTTCAGCTGGGTTCTTGTGATGGGCTGCTGGGTGGCCGGAGGTGGTGCCAGCAATGGAGTAAAATTTGTAATGGGGCCTAGGGGGAGGATGTCGGTTGATATAGCAATGGAGAGAGGTGTGATGGAGATTATATTTTGGGGAGATATTCGTGGAGGTTTTTCTCAAATTCAGCCTCCCTCGTAACTTAATTCTTCAATTTCGTTATTTTTAAACTTATTTTTTTAAATATTATATTTTAAACAACGGTTAACGGACGTTAACAATTATAAAAGGGTTAAAAACGTTATTTTAGAAGATGTTTTTAAAAACGACATTCTCGATGATGATTTAATCGTTTATTCATCTCAGCTAAAAGTATCCAAATCAAATGGTTAGGTCAAAAAAATTCAAATATTTCAACCACGAAGTCCTCTCCTCCTCCCCGACCACTCTCAGCCAGGTATTACTCCGACGAGCTCCAACCGAATATTCAACCGCGACTCAGCGACTAAGCATACCATTGGAGGACCATCGGAGCCTTGTGAAATCTAAGCTTAATCCACAGCTCCACCAGCAACACAGTGACTGAGCAGTGAGCACAGCCTCCACCAGCGACCGACCAGTGAGCACATCCTCCACCAGTGAGTATCTCCATTCTCTATTCCAGCCTAAATCGATTTTGCCCTAAATCTTTATCTATTATCCACTAAAACTGGCAAAAAGTCTTCTTTTACTCTTTCTTGTGGATTAAAGAGTATGTCATGTCTTCTATCATCGTTGGGGTGCAGTGTATTTAGGGACTAGGGTTTCTGCTTCGTTGAAGGACTCGGTTCTATTCAGGTGATTTTTCTTTTCAAGCTTTTCTTCTTTTTTTTTTTTTTTTTTTGTTGATGAGTTAGGTTATTTACAAAACTGACTTGAAATTGAACTAAAATTGCTGGAATTGAGAGTTCGATTGGTGAATTTAGTTTGAAATTTGGCTGTGGTTAAATGTGATGACATTGTTGATTGTTGGAAGAAATTTTGTTGGAATTCAAATGATTCGGATCGGACAAAACAATCCCTTTTTTTTTTTTTTTTTGGGGGGGGGGGGGGGGGGGGAGTGGTGATGAATGGTCTAGTTTGATTGATACGTCAGCCAAGGATAGTTGGTTTATCAAAAAAAAAGGGATGGTTTTGATACTTCTCTTACTGTATTACTTGGTGGAGTGGTGATTAATGGTCTAGTTTGATTGATACCTCAGCCAAGGATAGTTTGGTTGAAAAAAAAGGGGGTGGTTTTGATTCTTCTTTTACTGTTTTTGCAAGTTCTCAATTGGTATTTACGATATTTGATTTATATTAAGATTTGTTTAAGATTGCATCTGATAAGTCTGATAAAGGAGGTGGTGGTTAAAATGTTGGTCCAGTAATCACAACCTTATTTATACATCAAATTGTTGCAAAAACTGATATCAGAATTTAGAAGTACAAAGGATCACTACAGATGAATAAGTGAATTCAAGCAGCAACATTCCAAAAGTCGAAAAAGTATGGAAATATATGGGTTTATATACAACTCTCAAGTTTTATTTTTTGCATTTTGTCTTCCATAACTGAGCATTTCGTCTCATTGATGTGTGTTAATTTTTCACAGTGGTATACACTGAAATGGATCTGAATTCAGTCAAATTGACTATGTGCTAGCAGAGGTCCCATGGAGATTGCAACCTATATTGGAGAGGATTAAGTATCTGTTTGGTTTCTTAAAAGTGAAAACTAAACACATCTATAGAGAAGCTAATGGGATTGCAGACTTTTTAGCATCCTTTGCTGTTCTGACTGAGAGGAATTCTGACTTTTCAGCTAGTGGTGTTTTGCCACTTGCTGGGATGTTGCTGTTGCAGAAGGATCAGAGCTTGCTACCTACAGCAAGATTGACAAAGGTTATTAATAGAGGTACATTACCTCTTTTATGATCTGAACTGGGCAGACAGACTTGACTGCTAGCAGTTGCTGCTGTTGCAGTAGGTGCTATAGTTCTTTTCTGCTGGGATGGTTTTTTTAAGGATGCTGCTGGGGTGGAGTTTTTGAAATGGTTTAGTTTGTGGAATGGTTTGCTAATCTGTGTGGACAGAAGCTTTGTTTCAATAGTTTTCTGCTGTCTGGCAGTTTGTTGCTGTTTCAGGTTCTGTTTGGGATGAGTAAGGTTTTTCATGAGCTGGCCTGTGAACAAAGGAACATAAGCTGATCTGTGTGTTGAAGGAAGAGCTCATTTCACAGCTGGAGGAGTATCAGATCCAGTTTTGGGTTGTTTTTGCAGGTAGTCTGTGGTCTGTCTGTGATTATGGACTGCTTTTGCACTTGAGGACTGGACAGCTGAAGATAGTTATTGGGTTTTAATCCTTTTGAAGGATTAAAGCCAACTCTTTGTAATTAGAATGTTTTCAATTACTTTGCTCCTTGGTTTTCTGTTGAACTGTAGGGCAGGAGATGAACTGAAGAGTAGGAGATGAGTTGCAGGACTAAAATAGTTGCTGTACAGGTTTTTTTTTGTCAGTTTTTTATGTACAGTTGACTGTTTTGATCGTTAAAACAGTTATTGTTATGCTTAACAGTTCCTGTTTTTGGCTTCTTGTAATTTTTGGATTTCAATAAACAAAATTCTCTTTTTAAAAAAAAAAAATAGAATGCCATACTAGTGAGACAGAGAAAGCAGGAACATACCACTGAGAATAATGATAATCTTAAGGGAATATACATTTCCGACATGAATTCTACAATATGGCATCCTAATGTTCCATGTAACATAGACAGTCTGGTGAACTCTACATTCACTAATTTGGCCTTTTAAAAAGTTGGATAGTCATTCGGTCAGCAAAGGATACTCTGCACAACTCGTTTCACTACACAATAGCCGTAGTAAAACACTCAGCACTAGTTTGAGTGCCATATGACACAGGAGATTTTTAAGTTTAAGACTTTCAAAACATGCTTTTAAGTTTTTTTATTAAATATATATTTTACAAATATGTTTTTATATTGAAAAATATGAAATTTAATTATGTTTTTATGAATTTTATTTTCGATTATAAAATAAGTTCAAAATTATTATGAAAAGGGAATTAAATTCAAAAATTTATTTAATTCATTGTTTTTTTGTCTGGTGAATCATTATGTAAGACATAAGGTGGAGTTAATAAGTTTTTATAAAATTTATTATTAGTCGGTGGACAAAGACTTTTGGCTAAGAAAACCCATTGTAAATGGCTAAGGGGGTAGAAAACGTCATTGTAAAAGGCTAAAGGATAAAAAACGTCATTGATTATGAAAGGGTTGAAAACATCATTTAAAATGATGTTTTCAGCCCCCTTTTTTTTTTAACGCCGCCGTTTAAAATTCATGTTTAAAAATGACATTACAAATAACAACTTTAAAAATGTCATTTAGAATGACGTTTTCAAAAAAAAAAAATTCAACTTCAAATCGTCATTCCAAATGACGTTTTTTAAAAAAAATCTGGGTTTGAAAAATAAGTTCAAAATTAGCTGGATTTTGAAATTAAGATTTGAGAGGGCTGAGTTTGGAAAAACCTCATATTTCATGGGTTTAGTTTTTATTCCAGGTCTAGGTTTGGGTTTTTTTGGGGTTTGGGTTCCACATGGTTTTTGGGTTTGTGTTAAATGAAATTATTTTGATTCTAATAAATGGCAAAAAGGTCATTTCAAATCTTCTATTATGTCCATCAGTGGGCTGTTATTGATAAGGAGTGTTAATGTAATATGTTATTCACAAGAAAATTTGTGTGATTTAGTGATAAATTTTAGAGAATCCGAATAAAATTTATCCAAACTTAAACATCCCATCCTCACTTTAAAAATTATAGGATTCCATTGATGATTGAGTTGGTATTATAAATTTTAATTTCTATCATAATTGAGGGTACCCTTTTTTTTTTTTTGAAGTTCCTTACTAGATCAATCACATGTGTTTAAACTTAGAAATTTTAAAAAAACTTTTTTTAAGCATCTAAAGGAATTATAATAGGAAAAATATTCAACACAATTATAATAATACCCATCAACGCGTAATATTACAACTAAACAAGGAAAAATCACAACACAGATGGAGTTTCCCGCGTACACCTGTCATACTGCTTATTGAGTTCCACATGATTGGGCCCTGCCAATTATGGTATGTGGATATGATGCAACACAACTACTTGCTTTAAACCTCAATCCGAACTTGATCCAAGAGGGATTTCCACTGGAGTGGTTGCTGCTCCACATACTCCTTGTAATTCATTGGACGATATGCAGCGGGATGGTTTTCACTGTCTACCAACTTGGAAGCTGGGGCAACACTTGTTTCGAAAGAGGGTCCATTGATCATGGCTATAGAGACTCTCGTAGCTTTGTTATTCAGAATCGCTCGATGTATGATAGACTTGTACTTCCCATTACTGAAAATCTGACAAAACACAACTTATACAAATCAACACATTCTGACTAACTCGTACAATGTATGTACAAATCAACACATTCAGATGATCATGAGTTATATATAACTTAGAACCGATCTGAGATTAGCAGGAGAAACATTTACCTCAAGCTGATCGGCAGCGTTTACCAGAAAAGAGTTAGGAAAGGGATTGATAGTGACCCACTTTCCATTGTGTTTCACTTGAAGGCCTGGAACATCATTTTGTATAAGGAGGGTGAAGAGGCCATGATCTGAATGAGGTGGCAAACCCACTGCAAGTTCAGGCTGTGGACAAGGGGGATACAGATTGGCAGAAAAGACTTGTACACTAGAGTCCAAATTCAAGGTTTTTGCCACATAATCGTTGTCCAATCCTAGGCTCTCCGATATTGCTTTGAGTAATTCTCTTACTATTCTCCGGCCACTGTTGCAATACTCCAATGCAACTTCACTGCAGCAGCCACCACCAAAGAGTCGGAAATTTGAGTAAAAAATTGATTCGATAGAAAACACTCTAATTGATGAACACAAATTTAAATAAGATCAAATTCAAATTTAAATAAGGAACTCAAATTCAAATTTAAATAAGAGTGAAATCTAACAATTTGATCGTTAAAAGATAGTAAAATCTGATCTTTAAAAATTTTAAATTTTTCTTAATTTGAATAAAAATTTGAGTCTCGTCGGTTTTGTTTTACAAAATAATTTTTTATTCTCAAAATTCTAACAAAGAGATGAAAGTTGTTTGGTTTGTTCATCGGTTCTTCAGTTTTAGAAAAAAAACAAGGAAGCCGAGTGTAAAACATTGAAAATTGAGCATGTTTTGAGAAAACGTGAAAGTAAGGGGACCAAAATACTATTCATTAAAAAAAGTGGATGAACCAAAAAAAATTTTGAATAAATATTTATTGGAGTGGATAAAAATCCCTCAAAATGACTGAATTTAATATTCTTTCTAACAATGATGTGTGGCTAGGTGAATGAGAAGATGTGATGAATGTATGTACCTGAAACCTAAAGGTTTGTGGGGAGCTTGAAACTGATCCGGCTGCACAACGAGCTTTACAAAATCTCTCCACAAGAATTTCTTTCCGTTTGAAGTGCTCAAGGTTGAACCGCACCTGATTGGGTCTGAAATGTTCTTTCCTGCAAACTCCTTTTTCTCCTCCTCAGGCAGATTGAAAAATTCAGTACTGGCATTGATTATCCCTTTCAGCAGACTCTCTGGTACACCATGGTTAACCACCTGACACCCACCAACCAACACATACTCATGATCAACGAGCCCATGCTGCCTACTTTGCGAAACTACTGATGATGCACTACGTGCACGTAAATAAATTTTATAAAAAACTATAAATAATATGTGTATTAAATTAAATAATAAATTAGAAGTTAAATAATTAATATATTTTAATTATTACTAACTTTAATTATTAATTTATTAAATAAAACTTTGAGTACTTATTTATTATTTATTTAAGTATTTCTTCGACTTTTTTAAACCTTTGCACACTAATTATATTATAAAATTATTTTTTTTTTATTTTTTAAAATAAATTGATTAGAACGTATATAATACTATTATATTATTGCATACCAAAAAATAAAATATAATATATATTTAATCATGAATTTCAATCTGCTAACTACATTTATATCATAATTTAACACACACACACACACACACACACACACACACACACACACACATATATATATATATATATGATTTTATTTCTTCACATAAATATAAAAAATTATATATAATAATTTTTCTACTAATAACTGAGTTTAAAAGAATTTAAAAATTCTTATAAAAGAATCAAAAATAAATTAAAACTCAAATAAGAGTAAAAAATAAAAGTTTGATAAAAGTATATATATTGATGGATATAATTGACTTTATTATAGTAATTAAAGTTAAAATAAAAAATCAAAAAATTTTTTTATCGATGTTGACATTTACAAGTAGTATAGATACTTTATATTACATCCCAATCAAATGAAGTTATCAACTATTTATACAGCTTTTTTTGGTAAAAAAATATTTATCATTTTTGCAGGTAATTATATAATTTATGATTATTTTTAACTATTGTGATAATTATTTTTACCATTTTTTGGATCACATAACAGTGATGTAAAATACTTACATTAGGGTTGTTAATCGAACTGAGCTACTCGAGCTTGACTCGGGTTCAACTCGTTTTTAGCTCGTTCAAACTCGATTCATTTTTTAAACGAGCCTGAACTTAAACAAGTTTTTAGGCTCCTTTAAAAAATAAGCTCGAGTTGTTTATATATAAATACTTAGACTCAACTTGCTTTTTAAACGAGATAAATTTAAATAATTTTTTAAAATCAATTAAGAAACATATTTTTTAGGTTCAGGTCGAACTCGTTCGACTAACGGTCATATTCACAACAATAATAAATATATCCACAAATATGTAATAAAAAGGAAGAAAAAGGGATTAAGATTTAAGAGAATAATGTGGTGAAGTTAGAGATGATGATATA